TAGGGCCTGGAGTGCAGTTTCTGATCCTACAGCCAAGATGTCTGGCTGTCAAGCAAACCATCCTGATAGGAAGATAAAAACAGGGCCATCCTCTACCTCAGCATCATCTCTTTTCCAAGGGAAAAGGAAAGTCACAAGATTGAGAGTTTGGTCAAAAGACCTATAGAACTCACTGGTTAATCAGCACCTAAATAATCAGGAACAGTCAGGAAACAATAATTTTCTGTATAGCAATTCAGATTCCTATCTTTATCTATGCACACAAAGAGCTCTATACTAACATACAAAGATAGCATCCTCATAAATTCATTATATTTATTAATAATCATATAGGTGATTTTATAGTAGGACTCCAAATGAATAAATAAATAAAACTATGATTGTTAGAAAAATAATTTTTTAGCCAGGTGTGTTAAGACATGCCAGTAATCCAGCACTCAGAAAGCTGATGCAGGATTATGGTGAGGCCAGGTCAGCCTGGGTTACATAGCAAGTCCAAGCTAGCCTACACTAGCAGCAAGAGATTGTCTCAAAAAAAGCAAAAAAGAATTTGTTAAGAATGGGTAAAAGCTAGGTGTGGCAACACATGCCTATAATCCCAGTACTCGAGAAGGTGAGGCAGGAGGATTACCATAGGAGGTCAGCCTGGGCTACAGAGTGAGTTCAGGGCTATCCTGGACTACATAGCAAAAATTTTGGCTCCAAAAAAAAAAAAAGAGTATAAAGTTTTACAAATAAGTATCTTCAACATTCTGTATTTACCTCTCAAGATTTTTTTTATGAAGTCTTAATCTATTATTAAAAATAGCAGAGGCCGGGAATATAGTTCAGTGGTATAAGTGCCTGCCTGGTAAGTACAAGATCCTGAGTTTGATCCCCAGTACAAAAATAAATAAATAAGAAAATATCAGAAAGACAGATATAAACCAGAATTTTTCTGAGTAAATTCCTGATATATTTAACATAAAATTTAGTGTTTAAGGTTTTTTTTTTAACTTTATTAGCATGTGTTTGCAGCACACAATAAATATACTCACTGTGCAGAATTGGTAAATGTGCATAACATTTATTACCTTTTTCCCCTTCTCCTTTAACTTTTTTATTTTTCAGCATCAAGTTCATTTATTCATCCTACAAGACCTTTTAAAGTTAACTGTGATATATTCACATTGAAAACCAGAACAGTAGGCCGAAGAATATATGAAACATGTAAGAAAGTTACTAAGTCAAGGTACTCTTTTTCTCCACAGTGGACTACAATACCTTCTCTTTCTCTTTTTTTCCTATTTATATGGATTTCCTGTTTATATGGATTTTCATATAAGAGAAACTACGCAATATCTAAGTTGTATGTCTGAATTACTCCATACAACATTATGGCCACAAGGTACCATCTATTTTCACACAAATGACTCGAATTCATCCTTTATGGCAGAGTACAGTAATATTCCCTGTGTATAGTAAATATGTATAAATATCACATTTTTAAAAACCTATTCATCTGTTGATGGCCATACAAGTTGTTTCCAGATTTAGCTATCAGGAACTGTGTTGCTATGAATACGGGATGTATATATATCACTGTGGGATAATGCCTTTAACTCTTTAAGGAAGATACCTAGAAGGGGAATACCTGGATCAAATGGTAGTTTTTACTTTTAGTTTTTTGAGGAATCTTCATACTGATTTCCATAATGGTTGTATCAGTCTACAGTCCCAGCAACAATGGAGAAGGGTTTCCTTTCCCTCATTGCCAGAATCTGCCTCAGCCTCCTGAGTGCTGGGATTACAGGCATGAGCCACCACGCCCGGCAGCTATCTGTATTTCTTCATCTGAGAAGTGTTTATTCATTTCAAATGCTCAGGTTTTAATTGGGTCTTTAAATTTGAGTGTCCAGTGTAAATTCTGCAGGCCAAGGCAGGAGGATTGCTGTAAATTTGTAGTTAGCCTGGGCTACATCAATTCAAGGCCAGCTTAAATTACATACTGATACCCTAACGAAGAAATAAGGTAATTTACAAAAAAAAAAAAAGTTTTGTACCAATGGAGCACTACTAGGGACAGACGGAAATCATTCATTGTCCTTTAATAAGTCTAATTCTAAAAAAAATTAGTAAACAATAATGATTATTTAAAAACATTAACAGTGATATAAAGCAAAAAAAAAGTTTAAATTCCTCTCTCCTGTTATCCAACCCCATCTCTCAAGAATGACATAGTAGAAGTTCCAATCTTTTTCAATGTATGTGAAACACACACATTTTATACAAATATAAATTTATATACTTATTACATAAATCGGAATATTTACAGATTATAAACCTATATTTATATAATATACAAATATACAGTACCATTTATATAAAATACATACATGACTGGGATCATACCATGTATTTTTTTCAGTAACATTCTTTACATTTAATTATCTACAGTAGATTACAACTGCAGATAAAAATGTGGAGAAACCATGTATACTTAGCTTATAAAGTAATCATACTGTGTATCTACTTCTACCATCAGATCAATAAGTAGCAAACTGAGTCTCCCAGAAACTTGGCTGAAGTCACTGCGTTAGGTTTTAGGGCCATCCTTTCCCAGCTGTCTTTACAGTGGACTGTTCTGAGGCAGAAAAAGGGCACGTTTGTGTGAATGTGGCTAACACCTGCAGGGCGGAAGCAGCTTTCTCAAAGGTTCTCTGGATGCTCGCTTTCCTCTACATTTTAGCCCTCAGTCCTCTTTCATTTATTCTTCAGATTATTTTCCAAAATGAAATGAACATAGGTGTCCTTTTACTAGCTTGAGGGCCACCTTTGTACTAATTAGAGGAGGTTGCCCTGTCCCCCAAGGTGCTGGCATTTGTGGGAGACAGATGGAGATGTGCTGCTCTCTCAGATATTTTCTTACACACATTCAAAGGCAGCTGTTATAGTTAATAAGAGGATTGTCCAAATAACCCAAGTGCCACATTTTCAGGGACAGAAATTTGTGCCACTTCTCAGTTCTTTTCTTGCATTAAAGTTTAGGAAATGAATATATTCGTACCTACTAGACTAAAGCTCTGTAGGTAAACATCTCTGATTTTCCATACCACATGTTGTGAATGTGCAACAAATGCACAAAGAGTGAAAACTAAAAGAACTGAAAAGATAGCCAGAGATTTAGCTCAGTGGCATAAGGGCCTGCCTTGCAAGTGCATGGCTGTGGGTTCGAGCCCCAGTACCAAAAAAAAAAAAAAAAGGAAAAGAATTAATATTATAGGATATAGGAGAACATTCTTCTTCCTTTGAAGAGTTTCCTTTTTTTTGGAAGACAGGTAAGATACATATCTTAACAGATACAATAAAATATCTCAATATGATCACTTACATTCACTGGCATGGATTTCTGATATATTTCCAACTGAAAAAAGAAAGCTGTGGAATGGTGTGTTTTCTATAAAATATATGTATCTCTATACATCTAATTACTGGTCTTTTGTGTATAAATATATATATATATATATATATATATATACACACACACACACACACATATATTCTTAGTCATACTCTTGTTTATGCACAGAGGAGTGACTGTAAAGACACAACAGTGATGACTTATTGGAACTGGGAAGTCAGAAGTTATCATTTCACTTTCTCCTTATAACACTCATTTAACAAACACATACTTTCACAGTTAAGGAAAAAACATCAAATTAACCACATATACTGAAAGAAAATTATGACAAAGGAAGTCAAGAAGAAAAAATAGACCAGAACACAGAAATTATTGGGGAAGGATTCTTGGGACAATTCAGGTTAGGCGGTGGGCCCTGTAAGACGAGTGAAGTTTAAATACAAGTCAGAGGGAAGAGGGAGAGTGGGCGGTGGATGAAAGCTCTCATTAGGGAAGAAATGAAAATGGCACCCATAGGTCTAGGAAGGAGTACACCTGGCTCAAGCTAATTCCAATTTACATGAAGAGATGACTAAAAGGACACCAGAGAGCCACAGCATAAAATGTGGAATGCCCTCAATATTAAAAATTTATAACTGGTTCAATAGGAAACAGAAGTCATTGTAGGTCATTTCACAAGGAAGTAAAATGTAATATGAACCTCATGGAATAGTATAAAATGAGATGAACCTGTGAAAATCTTTGGTAACCTGTCAGCAATAAGGGTTTATTAAGTAAGTTTTATAAAAAGTTGCAAAGGAGGGAGATTACCTTGGTACTCTTGCACAACACGCTTGACAGGGGAAGAAAGCAAGCAGTTGCCTCAGCCATGTGATGCACCTGAATGAGCTTGCCCAGTTTCACAACCTGAAAAGGCAGACACCATCCACCTTACTGGAGAGTTGTAAGGCCTGAACGTACACCAAACGGCACAACCAAAATGCCCTCGTTCACTTCTTCACAACTGCTATAATAGTCCAGATACATGGTGATAAGGGGCAGAACCAGTACCCCCATCATGGAAATGGAAAAGATAAAGCCAAGAAATAAGTGATTAACAGGGATCTACTTATTGGATGCAGGGAATGAAGGCACAAAAGGCAGATCTCCGGGTTTCCCCAAAGGGAGCCTGCTGGAGCAGTGAAGTCTCTAACATCAGCTTCTCTAGAGTCTGACAGTCTTGTGTGAATTCCATCCCTTATGTCTCTATCTTCCACCAAATAGCCATCTCTGACTGGCTACAAGGTGATTTTCTTGTATTAGTACAAAGAGGGCCTGCAACTTCTAAAATAAAAGTGCATTTACATTCATTTGGTTTCAGCAAAAAATTTCAAGAAGGCACAAAAATTCTACATAAAATTTCTGATACAATTTATCATCTTTTTATTCATATTTGAACCATATGAGTGCTAGAAATGTAAAATTCTGAAGATCAACAAGGATTAACCACATAAATGGTTCTGATTTCCTGTGTTTTAAGAATTCTTTCAAGTGGATTATGACTTGTAAGTTACATGTTATGATCCCAGAATACAGTTTTTTTTTTTTTTTTTTTTTTTTAAGCCTACAGCACCCGGTATTCCCAGGCGGTCTCCCTCCCATCCAAGTACTAACCAGGCCCGACCCTGCTTAGCTTCCGAGATCAGACGAGATCAGGCGCGTTCAGGGTGGTATGGCCGTAGACCAGAATACAGTTTTAAAGCACAGCTTCTCGATACCATTATAGAATTTCTAGGGGTCAGAAAGTCTGGGACTGTAACATGACAGAACACAAAAACTGGGAAAATCCTAAGACAATACCTTACTTTCCCGGAAGATCACATCCTTGTGGAAGATGACAAGGCTAGCGATTGTGTAACTGAGCCTCCAGAACTAGCTAAGACTCTGGAATGTGACCAGTTTTTTTGCAATGTACTTGGCCACCATCACATGAAAATCTTGAGAAATAAAATCTTATTTACCTGTGTCTTGGTTACTTTTCTCATTGCTGAGACAAAATACCCAACACCCACAAGGGAAGAAGGGTTCATTTACAGTCTGTAGCAGTTTCTATCCATAATGGGCCAGTTCCAAGGCAGTGTGATATGGCACAGTGCAGAGGAGAAACAGTTCATGGTGGGCAAAAAGGTAGAAAAGCAATAAGAAAACCATAGCTCTTTAAATCCCTTCTATTTTATCCAGGCTACTTAGGGTGGGCAGCACTCACACCCTTAATCCCAGTGCCCCTGATCCTCGCACTATGCTCTGAATCCATCCTAGTGTTACACTTTAGCCTCAGCCACCTCCAAAAAAGCCTCACCTGTGACCCCATGAGGCTTTGTGGGGATATCTAGACACAATCATAGTTCCTGTCAGAGAATAACTCATTCATACAATATTCCAACAGTCTAAACTAGCATCTACCTGTTTTAGTACTTTGATTAGATCTTTAAAAATGTTAAGGCACTGTTTTTATATACAGTGCTTGAAAAGATTATTTTAAAAGTGAAGAAGAAATACATCTTTGTTTTACAAAACTGAGGAGGAGGTGGTGGTGGGAGAGGATGCAGATGAAACAAAATTGATCTGGGCTGCTAACTGCTACACACAGCTATCCACACGTGCTGTGCCCACCTGCTATACAACTGTTTGAAATCTTTCATAATAACAATGAGCATATACCTATTTTTAAAGACTATCTCCTCAGTACCTAAAAAAGAACATCACGTTACTATTAATAATACTGAAAGAAATGCATTAACCTTACAACACTGAGTTAAGGTTTCAAGAGTTCCTAAGTCTTATTTGCTCAACAGAAACAAGAAGCATGCCAGACAATAATCCTTACTATGTGCCCTGTGCTTATGTAAAGCACTTTCATGCTCATTATCTCAACCGATCGTTGCATCAGAGAGACACAGTAGATAACATTTTAATTTGTGAGAAACAAATATGCTACTCAGAGGTATTAAGTGACTTTCTTTTAATTCAATCATTCCTCCTACCAACATGTACCGAATATTTACTATATGCCAGGCAGATTTGTACTGGGTGGTAGAAATAAGCAAACTAATACAGCTCCCTCTTTCATGAAGTACATAATATAATAAATAGATATAACTGATCATTAAATGATGTTACTCATGCTATAACTTTTCAAATTTTCTTTTACAATGACCTAGAATAAGAAACACTGCATATAAAAATATTTGCCTATATATTTTTATATATTAATCCCAATATATACAAGTATTTGTTTATTGATTTTGCCTTTTTTTTTTTTTTTTTTTTTTTTTTTTGTACCAGGGATTGAACTCATGACCACACACTTGCAAAGCAGGAGCTTATGCCGCTAAGCCAAATCCCCAGCCCTAATTTGTCTTTTTGAGACAGGGATTTGTTATGTAGTTCTGACTGGCCTGGAACTTGTGGCAATTCTCTGGACTCAGCCACCCAAGTTCTAGGGTTACAGGTGTGTACCACAATATCCAGTACAAATACATGTTTAAGTGAAACAAAAGTTTCATGAAATGATTTTCGTCCTATGCATTTCACACACTGATATGTTCTAATGTACCCTACTTAGGTATCTTTCTGTTTTAATGCAATATTGGTGATAATATTTTCACATCTACTAAGGAGTGCTATGATGAGTTTATCAGAGTTCTGTGGTAACACAAAGAGAAACACAAATTCTGTTCTAGGGAGCAACAAAAGGCGTTAAGGAGGTTGATATGTCAACTTAGCATTAAATGTCAGAACTAGAACAAAGATCTTCAAATACTTTAACGGTTTGCTCTTGAAATATACTGCTGTATATTTCAAATCTAAAGCAACAAACAGGCTATGAACACACTAGGAAGCTATGGAAATAAGTCATTGCCTTGAAAGAATGTCAGCAGTCATTCACATTTACTGAATCTTCACAATGTAACATAGTAACTTCCTGTAGATTAGATCATCCTGTGATGATAAAACAACTTTATGCATCTTTTTTGTAATATATCATGTAATTAAAGACTCTATCTTGAGACTATAAATTTTCTTCTATGGTTAGTATATTTTTTCTCTCAGATTCTATAATGCTCTAAAAAAGCAATAGGCCAGGAAAAAATACATTAAATATAAAATTTGATACTGTATTTTTTAATCAATCACCAATTTATACTATAATTGTTTTCAATGCCTTAATACTGTATTTCAAAATCTCAGAAATTGGCTTTTGATCCAGGAGAGCTAGAATTACTGTAACAGAACTCCATGAAGACATAGTAAATGCCGATTCCTTCTCTTCAACTAGTGTCCTAGGCTGCTGCCCCCTGCTGTCTAAGAACAGCAGAGGCAAAATCAGGGAGATCCATGGACTTGATTTTGCTTTGACACCTTCTCCTGTCTGTATAAGTACTGTACCAGATTTAGGTACAGCACTTGTTTTGCAAATCTATTTTTCCCTCTTGCATCAAAGACTTATTTTGTGGACTTGACCTAGACTGGTGACTTCTCTGCCTTTTATCCATTCACTAACAAGAGAAGGTGCTTTCCCGAATTAGCATGTGATCAACTTACAATAGAGCTATTATTCACTGAACATTCAATTCATTGAAAGAGATAATGACACTGAACAGAAAATACACAAAAGGAAGAAAGTTAATTAGGCTTCACCAGATATAGAGGAACTACAGCTATTTCTCATTCCTACTTCCCAAAGGCCAAACATGGTTTGAGTATTAACAGTAAAAGATTTAGTTCTCTGATAGCTTAAAAAAACAGCATTATTAATTAACATCAAACTAAACTCAACCAAACTAAAAACCACAACAGATTTGAAGTTTTAATTATACTGCATGATCTTATAAAATTAAAAACAACTCTAGATTAACAGGTGTTAACTCAGTAATGGAGGGGGAGTCCTAAGAAAAAGAGAAATATATTTTTTAGAGTTACTGAAAACCACAAGCCACTTATGTTTGGATGAATACAAATATTTTGGTATTTGGATGAATCTCTTTGTATGGAAGATATTGTAGGCTTGATAATTGAGTGTTCTAAAGAAGTCTGCAAGGGTTAATGAAATACAATCTACAAAGTCTTCAAAAGAATTTAAAAAAAATTTTTTTTTGTTTTTTTTGGTTTTGTTGGTGGTGCTGGGAATCAAACCTAGGGCCTTGCTCATGTAGGCAAGTATTCTACCACTGAACTACATGCCCTGGCCAGGTGCACTTTTATTTTTTATTTATTTATTTTTTGATACCAGGGATCGAACTCACGACCTCACGCTTGCCAGGCAGGCACTTACACCACAGAGCTAAATCCCCAGCCCTAATTTAATCAAGAATAATGTTTTTAAAACTTTGTAGCTAAGATTCAAATGATAAAATAATCAACCTAGGGGCTGGGGATTTAGCTCAGCGGCATAAGCGCCTGCCTTGCAAGCAGGCAGTCGTGAGTTCGATCCCTGGTACCGGTAAAAAGGAAAAAGCCAAAAAAATAAAAAAATAAAATAAAATAATCAACCTGGGGGAGGGATACAGCTCAATGACACAAGTGTCTCTGCCTGGCAAGTGTGAGGTCGTGAGTTCAATCCTTGGTACCAAAACAAAACAAAAATAGGTAGCTAAAAAACAGAATTAGATACTCCCGATTTTGCAATCCATGATTATCCTTAGAGAGAAAAGTTGAAACAGAAAGAAAAAAAAAATACTGGATTCTACTTCGAGGATAAAATTAACTTCACCTACATTAAAACATAAACTTGGTGTCATTTTATTTCCTAAAATTTTTAACACTACATCCAGCTTTGCATAAAGTGTCTTTCAAACATATGTCCTTTCTTGGGTATCTTCAACTATTCCAAGCCAAACTCTTACTTTTCTGTCTTTTTCTCTTGCCAGCCCCACGCTCCCCTGCCTCACTCTTAATTCTACTGGTCTTTAAAAATGGGATGCACACAAAAACTCACTGGAAAGGAGGTTAAAATAAGAAAAATTTTATACTGGGTACATGCTTCAAAAATACTATTAAGGGTCTATGATTTTAAAATGTTGAGACTACTGATCTAATTTAACAGGCTTCTTTCTGTACTGCCCTCAGTGTCCCCGTCTACTAAATACTTAAATCTCTCTCAGAGTCTCTTCTCCTTTTCCATTTTCACTGCTTTGGCAACAACTGAGGGTCTCCAGTGTACCTGCATTTCTGTTACAGCTTTTCTGTCTTGTCTCACTTTCTGAAATGTCTTTCCAATTCATCTTTCTTTCTGCCACCTTCCATTAGTTATAAACTGTGTGTCCTTGGGAGAAACCACTCAGGCTTTCTGAGCATGTTTCCACCTGGGAGCAGCCACATGAACAGCTCACAAGACCATACTGTGACCTGAACAAGGTATGATACACACAAGACATTGCTTGGCACATGGCGGGCACTGCTACCCCTTCACCTTGCTCCAGACGCACCTACCACAACCATCTTTGTCTGGCTCCCTGTGCCAGCCAGTGATAGGCCTCTGGGACATGTGTGCTGCTCAGACACAGCGCGTGCTCTCTGCCCCTTGGGCTGTATCTCCTCAGCCTCAAATGCCCTTTTTTGCCTTCACCAGGGAAATTCTATCCAAGCTTCAAGACCCAGCTCAAATGTTAATTCTTTCCAGAAAAGCCTTCCCTTTATTCTTTGATCAAAAATTCACCATATTCCCTTTGTGTTTTCCCAGCA